TTTTAAGCTGAACTGTCCCCCTTTTTTTGTTTTTATTTTTTATTTAAGTTATTATACATTCAGGAAGTCCTCTTGCCTTTTTAAAGATTAAGAGTGATTACAGTTGCTCTGTTTTCTGTTAATGTGGACCTGTAGTAATATAAAGACTTTAAAAGGCTCTTAAGCGTAAGTTTGCATTAATTAGAATTTTCTTAGAAATGTCTGAAGTTTTAAACTATTTGAGACCTCATGTTCATAAATCTAAAGTTAACTGGTAACGTCCTCAGGACAATGGTGACTCCCCCTTCCCCGCTGTTGTCTGAGTTATCCTTAGATCGTTTATTTCATATGTTTGAGGGAACATCGTTTAAGATCGTTTTTTAAGGGTTGTTTTTTTTTTGTTTTGGGTTTTGTTTCGTTATTTGTTTTGGGTTTTGTTTTTTTTGTTTTTTTTTTGAGGGGAAGTATTTGCGGCGTTTGGGGACTGGAACTGTTCGAAGGCAGCGGTGAAGGACTTTGTTCATATCAAGATTTTGTTTTCATGTAAATAATCCAAATTCAATATTAATATTTAACTCTTAGGAAAACTGCACGTTTTGTACACTGTATAGAAAACACAGCTTCAGGTGGAAGTTGTTTATACTGGATCTTTAAAAAAACAAAACAAAAAAAACGAGAAAACCTTGGCTTCTGTTTTTTGCATCGTTTGTACAGGACTAGAGATTTCGGAGTTGGGGTTTAAAAAAACTAAACAAGGAAAAAAAAGATACTCTGTAAGGCGTCTTTCACTGACAACATGCCTGGAACATGTTTTGATAACCAATAACAAAGCTATACTTGGCTGGCTATGAAGTTGACTGTTACGTTTCAGAAAAACAAAAATGTATTTTTTTTTCTTGCAGTGTGATAAGATTTCTTAGCTGTTATTTTTTTATTTTTAATTGTGTAGATTTTCATACACAGCATTACAAGCACTACAGTGGGAAACACTGTGCACACTGCTTACAGCCTGTAATGCTGGTAATGTAAATACTGCCTTTTAGAACACTTTTTTTTTTTTTTTTTTTTTAAATAGAAAGTTGTTTTCAGGTTTTGATGTGTGGTTTTGATAGGTTGGATATTTCATTCACATGTTATCATTTAGTGTTGCCTTTTTTCCCCTCTTCTCCCAGTGACCAAAATCCAATGTCTTATGTGTATTGAACACATCGATCTTAGTGTCAGGGATGAGTAACTTTTCTTAATGCTGGCACACTTTGTACATATAGACTTGTTAACGACACACAAACCTCCATTTACTCACACGTATACACTCGACTTAAGACCGTTTTTATATTGTCGGGAGGAAACGAGTATGGATGCATGTTTTTAAATATAGAAATATATACACACACACACACACAAGGGCTTTTAAAGTGCAAAATTTGAGATCTGCAAAGAGGTTCAATCAGAGTAGACTGGATTTCCTGCCAGAGCTAGGCTATGTTTACATTTGCTATAGTATTCTGAAGCCTTCCGATTATTTACCGTCTTGCACTCCCTCACACACCTACTTGTGTGACCGCACCAATGGCAACTAGCACTCCCCATAAGCTAATATTCACTCTGATATGCTGACAAATGTTGAGATACTCCATCCATTTTTAACAGCCAGTGCTTGAGCGTTGCAGACAATCTTGCTTTCGCCCCCTTTCTTCTTAAATTTGATGAAATGTATCTGCGTAGGCTAAGAGCTAAGGTTTATACAAGTCTCTTTTGAGACCTTTTTTTAAGTGTTTTTGTGTTTGATTTGCTTGGTTTGGTTGTAATCTCATATAAAATTCTCTGTTCAGAAGTGTTCAACGCCCCCTCTACTTGAGCAGCTACATTACATTGAATGCCCTTCAGACAGGTTGTCTGGTTTAGAATCTGGGATAATCTTTTATGTGATGGACAAACTTATCAAATGTGTAGCCTGATCCTTTTAAGTGCCCAGTTTGTTTTGCATTCAAGTCATAAACCACAAATCACTGTAATGCATGACTGATGATGATGATCACACTTGTAATCAGAGGGAATGAATGTGTCATTTTTTCCTCGATCTTAACAGTTACATTAATAAGGTTCTCATATCACTACATAGATCACTTCTATATGATCTTATGCAATGTTAAAAATATACAAACTGAGTATGAGGGTTAAGGGGATAGATCTATATGGTCTTGCATAGGGTAAACCCAATAAAATGTTGTCATTCATATCTGTCTTTTTTTTATTATTTATCTTCTGGCTCTTCGAAGTTACTATAATTTAAAAGGGGGGAAAATTATTGATTATTTATATAATAAATAAATATATATATGTATATTTATTTATATAATAAATAAATAATAATATTTTTTTTTAATTAGTATAAGTTAAAAAAAAAAAAAAGCACAGTGCTCTTAAACTTTTGCAAACTATAGCAATGAATGGATAAAGTGGCGACCACAAATAATATGTGATAATGGCGACCTCTTGAGTCGAGTCACGAAAGGAATAGTTGTCGTTGAGTAGTCGAAAAATATGCCTGTATAAATATAGACGACGGGGGGGAAAGTTTTCGTTTATACCTAAAATTAAATTATCCGAAATTGGTCTTTTAGACGTATCGCTTATCTTAACTCTTTGGTAACTGCGCACAAAATATTTTAATCTCGTTGACAGTCGCAGATTTAATGGGCTTTAGTCTAAGGCACCCAAAGATTATATATTACAGAAGAGAGAAATCCGTCTGGGTTTAAGACCACGCGGCTTACTTGGGTATGAAATTAGAAAAGATTTTTGATTTGTATTTTCTATAAAGTGTTTAAAAAATCCCAGGTAATCTTCTATACTTTGCAATAATGTATCATATTTTCACTTTAACCTTTGTCATTTTTTTTGATAACATAAACGACGCTTGAACGAAGAGTACGAACCGCAAAGGTAGAATTTCCCCATCGACATAAACTTAAATAACAGTTTTTCTAACGCACTGCGCTCTAACAACGGCAGCTAGGCTGCTCGAATTAAATGAAAGCTAATAAACGACTAGTTCGGGAAACTCTTTCGACTAAACCCAGGGCAGGTGAAGAAATACATTCAAAATATTAAACCCCCGAAAGAGAAATGCGCAGTCCGATTTTCCAAGAGGTATTTAAGCAAAGACGGAAGTAAAGGACGGATGAGTGTTTCGCATCGCTGTCTCTGGCTCGAGACGGAGCGGGTGATTTTTCAGGAGGGAAACTTTACAAGGTTTAACGGGATTTGAGCACGATTAATTCATTTCGCTTAATTACTAGAGCCAGTGCAGCCATACTGAAAGGTAGGAGTACACCCTGAACGCGGAAACGTTCATTTTTGTCGTGTATTATTACATTTTACCCGCTTCAGTTTGCGCCATTTTCGCTAGTTTGGTAATGCATAAATGTGCGCATTTTAGCTCTGGCGTTCTTTGTCCCTATTCTTTAA